GCGGACATCCTGTGTGTCGAAGCGCTCTCTCTGCGGCGCCGTGCGAATTCGTCTTGCTCTCGGCGAGCCCTCTGTGGAGATTGTGCGTGTCGAAGCACTCTCGCTGTGGCGCCACGCGAATTTGTCTTGAGCTCGGCCCCTCTGCGGAGATCCTGCGTGTCAGAGCGCTCTCGCTGTGGCGCCGTGCGAATTTGTCTTGCTCTCGGCGAACCCCCTGCGGAGATCCTGCGTGTTGAAGCACTCTCGCTGTGGCGCCGTGCGAATTTGTCTTGAGCTCGGCAAACCCTCTGTGGAGATCCTGCGTGTCGAAGCGCTCTCGCTGTGGCGCCATGCGAGTGCGTCTCGCTCTCGCCGCGTGGCGCGTTCGATTTTTGTTTTCTTTGCTTGCGAATCGGTGTTTGGAAGTTAACTCGTGGTTTGCGCGTCGGCTTTCACGATCGCGCGTTAGAACGCGCAGTGCGCTTCCGCACATTCGCAAATTGTAAGTACAAAAAGTAGTGTGAGAAGCGCGCTCCCGGAGCTCCGGCCGACAAATCGCAAGTTTTAAGTACCAAAGTAGTACGCGAAGAGCAGTTCCAGAGGCGCGGCTGCGAAATCGCAGAGTGTAAGTACAAAAGTAGCACGCGAAGCGCGCTCCCGCAGCTCCGGCTGAAAATTCGCAAGTTTTAGAGTACGAAGAGCATGTCCAGAGGCGCGGCTGCGAAATCGCAAATTGTCACGTAGTACGCGAAGCGCACTCCCGCAGCTCCGGCTGACAAATCGCAAGTTTTAAGCACCAAGGCAGTACGTGAACAGCATTTCCAGAGGCGCGGCTAAAAGTAGCACGCGAAGTGCGCTCCCGCAGCGCTTCGGATGAAAATTCGCAAGTTTTAAGTACAAAAGTATGTGAAGAGCTTTCAGAGAGCTCCGGCTGCAAAATCGCAACTTTTAAGTTCAAAAGTGGCGCACGAAGTGCGTTCCCATGGCTCCGGCCAAAGTTGTACGTCGAAGCGCATTCCCACAGCAGCCCCCGCTCCTGCAAAGTCGTAAGTGTTTTCGCGCAAAGGTAGCTTGCGAAGCGTGCTCGCAGCTCCAGCTCGAACATCGCAACTTCAATCTGTAAGCGCGAATGTGATGTTCGGCAAGTGCGCTCTCGCATCTCCAGCTCGAAAATCGCAACTTGCATGCGCAAAAGTAGTGTGCCAAGTACACTTCTGCAACTAAAACCGCCAGCCTTCTTGCGCAGCCAAAACTGCACGCAGATATGGACAACAGAGGTTGACAAGAGAAAGGGACATGAAAGGTTGGGTGAGAGAGGTTGCACAGCATCATGCGCGAGAGGGACCGTCACGCATAGCATCATGCGCAGCATCATGCACGGCGTCGTGCGCAACGTCACGCGCAGCATTGTGTGCAACATCATGCCTGCGCAGCATCATGCGCAACACCACGCGTAGCTTCACGCGCAGCAGCGCAAGGCAAGTTGACAGAAGAGGTTTTTGTTCGAAGTGCGGCGCCAAGCTTGCTCATCAGAACTTGCAGCAGCTACAAAGGGACATTGACGTGTTTACGCTTGTTTCTCACCTACCGTGGGAGAGGTGTCAGAGTTTATTTTCTATGTTTCCGGGCCACCCGTCGTCAAATTAAACCCAATACTATTTGGGGTCTCTTGCCAGGATAATTTATTGGAGAAAACAACCAACCTTTGGTGCCCTTAGGAAACCCAAAGGAGGTTGATTACGCAATAGTGAGTCGAAGATGTTTAAACAAGGGGTTGGCGGGCCCCCCTGCAGATTAACATGGAACCCAAACCACCACCTTTTTGTTGAGGAATCTCCTTTCGAGGGCAATGCCCAGGGGCCTTCAACAGAGATTCCAAATCCAAGCAAGTGCTGGGAAATGCCGCCGCTAACTCCCATTCCCCGATCGCCTCTTGCCCAAGACCGGCCCCCCAAAAGCGAAGACCAACTCAGCCCGTGGCAAACAAAACCCAGCGGAGAAAACAAACAGAACCCAAGGCGAGACACAGCCTGTGGCCATGAAAGATACGGTTCGCGCTGCGAAACTGGTCAGCAACTACGCGCAAGTCTTCCAAGTGCACCATTACAAACGGTGCAAAAGCTCCCGACAAACAGAACAACAGACTTGTGGATTGTTCTTGCCACAAAGACAGGAAAGGCTTGGCTTGATCTAGAATCTACATGGTGCTTGCATAAAAAGGCAGTGTCAAAGATTGAGCCCGTCCAAATAGCTCCCGCAAACAACAAAAACTGCGTAAGAGATACGAGTGCCAAGAAAACAAACACAGAAACAGGCAATCAGGCAAACATGTCACTCCGCATTTCAATATCTTTGCAACATCCTCGTCGATGCGGTGACATGTACCCCAAGATGATCAGTATCATGCACCTTCGGTTTGCGGTACGACCTGTACAGGATACAAGCCTGAAAGGCACAGCAATCAGGAATTCAAAACACCCCCTCCTCCCCAAAACTCCAAAAGGGAAGGCACATTCAAGAGCTCAAGGCGACACGAGCCGGCCACAGGCACAAGGAAAACATCTGGCAAACAGGCAAACAGGCAACCAGCCAGGCAGGCAAGCAAGCAAGCAAGCAAGCAAGCAAACACACCAAGAAACGGCCACACAAACAAGAAAGCAAACAAACAAGCAGCCAACAATGACATTTAGAACAAAACAAATAAACGGAGCACATTCAGCTCCGCAGCTGCGTCACGTTCTCCCACCTCTTCCAAAACTTTGTATCCTGCTGCTGTCTCTCTTTTCTTGCCCGGCAGCTTGACGAAGCCATGGTGGAGCGCCACGTAGGCGAAGAGAAAGGCTGCAAGGCTCCACTTGAAGCTCCAGCTGTAGCCTGCGGCCCAGGGGAATAGTTGCATCACCCGTGGAAGGATACTTCCACAGCCCACCTGCTTCAGAAAATCCGCCAAATCGGCCAGTCAAGGGTGAAACGCTATGAATACCGCGCTGAACCAACTACCAGATGGTGCAAAGTGGAGTTTGACCATCCACAACCAGGGGCGAAATACTCACACACACACACAGAGAATACGTTCTCTTCATCACGACTTAATATGGTTTTAAAGCAGCTTACAAGCCATTCTAAATATTGAGGGCAACTTGTTGTCATCGCATCCTCCAGCGACATGGGATGCTGGTGAATAATCCTCAATTCCACATGGTATACTGGTGAGTGCTCCCCATATCCACACCCGTATCGACCACAGGATTCATGGGTCATTGTTGCTCCTTTCATCAAAAGAATGCCCCATGTCCAAAAGGTCGACCCAAAATCATGCCCCCACAAAAAATACCACCAACCGATAAGCAACGCCCAAGGTTGATACCCAACCTAAACCAAGTTTACATTTTGGTCTGGGCCCAAAGAACAGTTTGGGGTTGGAAAAACTGGGCGCTCCAATATGTTCTCGGTGAACTATTCAAAATCACCAAACAGAAGTAAAACTGTCTTCATATATGAGGTTACAGATCAAACCTTTGCGAGGTCGCTCTGATTTTCTGAGAGTAAAATATTCCGGCATGCAAAGTTGCTGACATGTGCTTTGCATCACGGAGGATTTGCCACTTTGCTCATATGAGCCCGCACAAGATGGTTTGATTCCCCATGAGGACTTTGGTTGAGCGCACTTCTCGTCCTGCCCAAACTAACAATAGAATGCCAGCATGGCTTCTGATATGAGCCATGGTCAATCTTGCTTGTTCCCCCCAAAGGACATGGGAAACCTAGAGCTTGTCCCACGTCCCTGAGGTGGACCATAGACCGGGCATTTAGTCCGAACCTCGTGGCGGACCGTCCAATTTGTGTCACCCGGAGCCAGCGAAGGATTGCCTCTCCCGGTCACTCCGGTCTGAAGTCAAGGGGCAGTTGTTGGGGCCAATGCAGTCATCCACCACCTGCACCATTGCGATGGCGGCACGAGAGGGGTCAGTTGCCCCAAAACATTTAGGTCTGGCTCCTGTTGAGGCTCGGTGCCCTGAAATTAGCTTGGAATACAAAAAAAAGTCAACATGAAAAACGAAGAAATGTTGCGGCCCCCTATTTGAACACATACTCAATTGGAACGGGGCTGTGGGTATGGAACACGACATTTAGTCGTGGTAGGAGTGAACAACTGGTTCGCCATGGCTCGCCCCTTAAATTGTGGCTCAACCCCGCTGCTCGAGTTCCCCGAAAGGGAACTTCTGGGTTTTGGTCTCCACAGAAATGAACGCCTTGGCGCAACTCTGGGGTACACCGAAATTCCCGCAGGGTGTACCTGTCCGTTTTTGGATTCGGGCACCTGCAGAATTGTTCAGGGGCCTTTGACTCTATCGCATTTGCTCGCAACGAAAGGCATCGCTAGACTCTTGCCCGTTGCATCTCAAGATTCCGCCAGCGCGGTGAGCTGGTGCAAAATCATACCACGTCTTAAGAGTTTTGGCAATCCGCCAAGCGCGCACCAAGGGCAAGCACTCACAGATACGTCGTAAGACAATAGCTTTGGTGAGTTGGCTTTCAAAACCTCAGGAATTGCGGCTGCGTCCCGTTCCCTCACATCCAGCCCTATAGTGAATCACGCTTCATGTGCGAGGGCGAGGGACCTGCTCAGCTGCTCAATGACGAATGGCCTTAGTCAAACTCTAAACATTACAAATAAGACAACCCAAAAAGATGGCAACTCGGAAACAGAAGCGTCCAGTCTCCTGGATGCAGGGAAGTCAAACCCCAAACCACCCGCGCGGCTCATCTCCTGTTGTTTTCCCAATGCTCTAAAGGCGCCGCTACTAGAAGCCACCCCAGGAGTCCGTTTAGACCAATAGATGCCACTGGTACATGTTCAGAAACTGAAATCTGCGGATGTCATCTATGTTTAAACACTGCCCACTTCCAACAACAAGAGCCCTGTGATCATATCCCTTTAAACGCTGACAGGATGTGGATGAGATGGATGCGATGGAAGAGAGACTTCTGGCACATGTTTTTGAGGCGACCTCGGAATCTCACTTTGCCGGGTCCGAAGTGGTGAAAAACCACGGGCAAGCGACAAGATGGAGACTCCTGACATCGGCCTGGTAGCCCAGGCCCGTGCTGATCATCTTAGACTCCAGGGGGATCTTCGCCAAGGTCCCCGCCGGCGGCAGGCAGTCCTGGAGTCAGAGTTGTTCCCCGATGCTCTGCGGGGACTCCAGCGAAAAACCGTGCGATTTGCGCCAGCTTCCTCAATTGTCACGGTCTGTTTGGCGTAATGGGACAATGAAGGGCCGCAAGAGATGGATCGCCCTGCACAAAACTCAGGCGCTCTGGTAAGTTTCCAGGGAGAATGTGGAAGAAGTAACCATTGCTGGGTTCAAACGAAATGAAGGAACACAAAATGGGCGGAAAGGACAGAAGCAGAAAGGTTAGTTCAGCCGGGAAATGGAGACGGGGTTGGGGGAACTCTGTAGAAGGCAACTTGGAGCTATGGAACTTGTTGGAAGCCTCGGGGTTGGGGGCACTTGTAGGGAGGAAACAAGGACCCCACCACCTGTCGGCAAACAGCTTGGGAAGGCAGTTCCGGGAAGCAAAGGAGCACACCGGGCACACCAAACAAACACACACACACACACAGACATACATACGCCAAGAAATACCAAACAATCATTTTTGAGCAACATCAAACACAACAAAATACACTACACTGCACACACACACACACACAAGCAACCCAGTCCTCTGAGGGATCAGGAAGCCAATGCGGATGCTCGGGATCTTTCGGCACGTAGTTTGGCAACGCATCCGTCACCTGAGAACAACTAGCGACATCCCAAAGATACGAGAAAACAACAATATTACAACCAGAAACCAATAGGGGCCTACCCGAACCAATAACAACCGCCGACCTGCAAAACCGATAGGGGCCCACCCAACACTGATACCCTCATAATCCTGTCCGCTGCTGGGATTGGCGAACCCCAAGCACGGGAGCGGCTGAGCACGGTTACTCCCCCCTGGTCTTCACAGAAGCAACGTTCTTGCAAAGGGGCTGCCAAAACGTCCATTTGCTTCAGGTACTAGCAAAATGATGTTCAGTTCCTTGAAAACCAGCGAATCGAAAATGGTGGAAAATCAACGACATCATATTATGTGTGTGTGTGTGTGCTTTAAGTCGTATTTCTTGCAGCAATTGTGCAAGTTCTGTCCGTGTTCTTCCTTGTTTGTCGGTGACTGCTGGTTTCAATCCGCGCTCGTGGCAAAGACTTCAAAAGCTTCGAAAGCTACAGGTCGCTCCCCTGCAAATTACCCTCGAACCTGGAAAAGGGGCACCCCTCAAAAGCTATAGACTAGACATAAGTGCTAGTTTACGAGTTCTACATGGATATGTCCAACAATAGGGGACTTCGGTTTAGATGATTGAAGGGGAGCTGATTCCTAAGTTTGCCACCAGCCTTAGTTTTCAGAAGATTCAGCTGGAGTCCTGTGCTTTCAGCACGACAAGTTCTGCCACTCAGAACCAGCGCCCATGTGAACAGCGACAACCGAACAAAACAACTGGAAGCTGATCAAGGTTCTGATGGGAACAGGTGGGGTGCGTTCGTCCTCCTCTGAGAAAAGGGAACCCAGAGGAAATTACCAAGCCTCAAAAGAAGACAACATCCACTCCACACAGTTGCAGAGACCCTGGTTGACACTCACCATTCTTCGCCTCACCAACAAGTGATGCGTCAAACCCTTCTGAATTACGGGGAACCCAACAAAACAAGATGGTGTTTGCAACCACCCCTCGGGCAAGACATCGGGCCTGGGCTTAGTACTGAGGCCGTACTTTAAAACAATTTACCGTCATAAACAGGGACAAATGTCTATAATGTGGGGAACCGCCATCCTCGTGTAAGAAAAAATGGAACCCATCCGAAATCAGAAACCACCTTTCTCCAGCGGGGACCCTCTAACTCAGCTTCCAGGGTTCGGTTTGGTACTTGAAACCGAAGGGCGTTCTGCCAATACTTGAGCTGGGAGCCCAGGAAGCACCCGCCAGTGCCGCCCACCGACACCTGATACAAACCGAATTCGAGCCGTGGGTACAGTGGCTGTTTGGTGCGAGCTAGGCCCCAGTATTCAGTATGTGTATACATATTACATATATATATATAGATATACTAGAAATGTATAGCGGTGTGGGTGTAGGTATGTCTGTGTTATCTGAAGTGATGTTATGTAATGGTATGTTATGTTGTGTTATGTAGTGTAGTGAAATGCAATGCAATGCAATGTACTGCCATAGATGTGTGCATGTGTGTATGTTTGCATGTTTGTATGTGTGAATTCATGCATCCATGTATATACATGCGTATATCTATATACATATCCATATTGTCCGGGCCTCAGCCCTACCAAGGAATCGCCATCTGGAAGAGTTCAGATTCTCAGTGGACCCAAAGGGAAGGCCCCAATTTAGGTAAAAATCTGGAAAATCAGAAAGGACAAAAATCTGGATGCCTGCTGTAACTGGACCCTCTGGGTATGGCAAGCACATTCCTGGGGTCTTAACTGTCTATTCACATACCGGCCAGGAACAGGGGGCTATTTCGTGTGACAATCGGGGGAGCCTGGAAAACTGGAAGCCACTCGTCCATGACTGGTGCTCTTGTTTAGGGTACTGGTAACATTGAGAAATATGGTTTATTCCGATCTGAACCCGCTGAAAGGAACCTGGTCGGGCCCCCTGACTTGCTGGTTCTCAGTATTGAATGAGGGAATGACCATACAAGTCCGCAAACCATGCCTTGCAGCTTCATTTCACAAAATCCCCGCCATTCGCAACCCCCCAAAAGGTTTCCTGGGAAGACCCCTGCGGTTTTTGCTCCACCGAAGAAAACCACCCACTTCGCCTGGGTCAACACTGGGATGCTCTTGCAGGCGAGGGAGCTCTGCGTGTCGCCTCACGCATCGAATGGTTTGCTTAATCCACCCGGTTGCTATGGGAATCACCCTAGAATGGTGCATATGGTTTGGGAACCACAGAATGCGAACCACTAGAATGGGAACCACAGAATGGGAGCCACCCTAGAATGGTTTGGGAACCATGCCATGAATTGGGTGATATGTCACAATCTCAAGTAGCGACACCTTGAACAGGTGGAAGTCATGTTGACCCAGACCTGTGGATGTTCATGGGGAAAAAGACAGCAGCCTTTCTTTTGGTCGCTGGCTTGAAAGGGAGGCCCCCTTTGTAAAACGAAAAAGGGGTATTGGAAGTCTGGTTCAATTGCATCAGGCCAAATGCTCAACGTTGTCAAATTGCTCTGGGCCAAATGTTTGTGGGATGGGTGGCAATTGAAAGGAGCAGGATGTGATCCTAATCGGTGGGGGGGGGGGGGTAGATGGGGATGGGGCTGAATAGTAGTTGCATCCGTTTGGCTTCAATTAGTTTGTTCAATCAACATGCATCTGATATCAACAGCTTAGAAGCGTCCAAGTAAGGCCTTCGCCTAGCTGTTCTTCTCAAACCATCTAAACCAGGAACACGATCACCGGACCTCGCACATGCTCATGTTGGACGGAGGGAGTCCCATGAGAAGCCAAGGGATGGAAGTTTCACCCAGAAAACACGAGCGTTTGGCCCCCCCCCTCCCCCCCCGCGGGACGTACAGCCCCTCCGCAATCTGTGTATTCATTCCAAAACCTGAATAAAGGAATCCCCGCCACCAAGGTTAGATTCGCTTGCCATTGTGGCAAGCCCCGATTTCTTCTTCGCCCCTCTACAACTCTGCCTCGTCCAGATGTCTACAACCCCCCAAGTGCATCAGGTGTGGAAGTTCCCCCCCCCTCCAACCAACCCCCCTTTTAAATAAAAGAGCATTCAGCAGCACATGAACCGCCCCGCTGAAGGTACCCAGGGCCTCAATAATTGGAATTGGATTTTTGGAGTACTTTCAATCCTACCACAGCTTCCATTAACATAGCACCTCTGGCAGGGTACCTCGAAGATCAATCTTGAAGTTGGACGCCCAAGCGTGGGCTTTGGGGACTGGTCGATTCTGGGCTTTGATGTGTCGACTTTCTAGCCTCTGGCTTCGGAAGGAAACACGAGGGCAATGCGCGGCGAAACACTTGCACGTCGCTTTTATGATTTTTAAATTTGCTCACCCACCCACCAACATGGAACCAGCATGGAGCTTGACAAGGGATCCCAACCCCTTCTTTAGGCATGTTTGATTCAAACATGTGGGTATAGGTTTCTTTGCGCGGTTCCCTTTTGGGGGCTGGTTTTAGAGGGACACCAGAAGAAAATCATCTGTCTTTTGGGGTGGTCTCTTATTTTGAGATGCACCAATGTTTAGATCGCTGTTGTTTAAACAACATCCTTTTAGCCTCCCACGTAAAGGGGGCCAGGTCTTAGTTGCTTTGAAACAATCGCCCGCCCAACCCTGCCGTAAACAACATCGGCCGGGCAGCAGTTCACACGGTAGATGCAGTTCAGCTTGTTGGGATTGGAGAGGCACATCCAGAAGACCAAGAAGACGAACCTGTGAGCAACAAGTTAGCATTTGGGCGTCTCTGTGCTTGAGGAGACTCTTTTCGGGGCTGTATGTTTTGTGACATCAAATGGACAAACCATGTCTTGTTGTGTTTGCCCATTCAAAGACCAACCCATATCCAACCAATTGGTACAGCTGGCACACACTTGGATATGTTCAACCAGGACAATTGGGAATTCATGTGCCAACTGATTGCTTCACACTATACAACTTGGGCAGCCCGAAACTCATTGACTTGCGCTTCTACCAGCATGGTTGTGAAGGTTGTATCGGCTTTCTTAACTATCCCCTCTACTCTCTCTCTCTCTCTCTCTCTCTCTGCCGTTGCGTCCAACCGCGTCGATGTGTGAAACATGGCACTCTTGGTGGTGCCCTCGATTGAAAGGAGCTGCAGTCATGTGGCCACACTGCCTACGGAACCCGCAACTTCGATTGCTGGAAAGATGCTGAGGGAGCTGCTGGGCAAGTGCTGGGCAACCCGCAAATGCTGGGCAACCCATGCAGATTCGCTGTCAGACTGGGGCAGGGGTCCTGCGCCTCTGCTGCCTGCGTGGTACGCCTGCTTTGCGAGGTGAGCGAAAGCACTGGCGAAAGCGCGATTAAGCTGAAGTGCTGCGACCGCAGAGCCTTTCGCGCGAGGCTCAACCGAAAGCTTGTGCCGCTCTAGCTCCGCTGGAAGATCCGGCAGCCCTGCGTAGAGCAGTCCAGTGAGTTTGCTTGCTGCTGTGACCCCATTCACACTTGCGTATGTGGAGCAGATGCACGTCCGGCATCTGCAGCCATTGCTGAATCTGAGGCAGGATCCAAGGTGAGGCGGTGCTCGGACGGCCCGGGTGTTCCAAGAGGACGACCCCCCCCCCGCAAGCCAAACTGCGAACAGCACTACGCTGCAAAACGCGGTTGCTGAGCGCAAGCTCCGAGCACTGACGCGAAGAGAGCTCACGCAACCCCCAAAGTTGTGAGGCTCGCCGCAGCGCATGCGAGGTTCGCGGAGGGTCTGGCGACATTTGCTCAGCAGCAGTTGACCAGGTATCGCTTGGCAAGTTGCAAATGGCACCGAGGAAGAGACCCTTCTGACACAGCTGGTGCAAGATCTTGCAAAAGACGTGCGGCTCGCTTGCGTCGCAGGCAGGCGAGTCATGCATCACATCAAGAGGCAAGCACACCAAACGGTATGGCTGGTTGATGTTGATCTCGTTGACAGCTTGCTGCAAGTGTCCTGGTTGGCTGTGTCCAGAGGAAAGGCGTGCAATGAAGAAGCTGGGATGCTGCAGGCGGTCCATGGTCCGGGTTGCGTGGCCCGCACGATAGGGTGAAGGTCGTCCTTCCGCTGTGCTTTGGCAGCTTCGGCTGCAAAGCAGAGCCACACAAGCCCCTCAGGCTTCTGTTGTGACTGGCTGGCTGGTGACCGTGTCGGACGCGGCGAGTCGGACGGCGGCATGGTCGAGTCGGACGGCGCCGGATGTCCGTGTCAGCCGGCGCGTGTGTTCGAGTCGGACGGCGCGGAAACGTGTGCCCGAGTCGGCCGCGGAAGCCACGTGTCGGACGGAAAGCGCTGTGTCAGACAACGACGGCGCGAGTCGGCTGCGTATCGGACGGCGAGCACGCCAGAAGAAGCGCGGACGCGGAGCGAACTTAGCAAAGTAAGGTCTCCGAGTCAGAACCCGACGGCCCGAGTCGGCCGCGGAAGCCACGTGTCGGACGGAAAGCGCTGTGTCTGACAACGACGGCCCGAGTCGGCTGCGTATCGGACGGCGAGCACGCCAGAAGAAGCGCGGACGCGGAGCGAACTTAGCAAAGTAAGGTCTCCGAGTCAGAACCCGACGGCCCGAGTCGGCCGCGGAGGCCACGTGTCGGACGGAAAGCGCTGTGTCAGACGACGACGGCCCGAGTCGGCTGCGTATCGGACGGCGAGCACGCCAGAAGATCCGCGGACGCGGAGCGAACTTAGCAAAGTAAGGTCTCCGAGTCAGAACCCGACGGCCCGAGTCGGCCGCGGAGGCCACGTGTCGGACGGAAAGCGCTGTGTCAGACGACGACGGCCCGAGTCGGCTGCGTATCGGACGGCGAGCACGCCAGAAGATCCGCGGACGCGGAGCGAACTTAGCAAAGTAAGGTCTCCGAGTTAGAACCCGACGGCCCGAGTCGGCCGCGGAGGCCACGTGTCGGACGGAAAGCGCTGTGTCAGACAACGACGGCCCGAGTCGGCTGCGTATCGGACGGCGAGCTTATCATGAGAAACTCTTGAGCGGGTGTGCTTATCATGTGCCAACACGTGTGCGCAGCGCTACGCGAATACAATGAGTAACGCCTTTAAGACAACCTTGAGATCGATGACTCAGAGGGCCAAATACTTGGAGCGTTTAAATTTCCTTGCAAACTACAAGCACAGCGCAGCAGCTGCATCGTCTTTTTTGGCCTCATACTCCTCGGCTGGGTGTTCGCAGGCTCACTTTTGCCTCTTCCACGGTGGGGCGGCAGCAGATTCGATCCTTAGATGCTGTAGTTTCCGCAAAGTCTTTGCTTCAGTTATTGCATTGTTGCTGCCAGGGCAAAACTTGTCTACACACGAGTTGGTGTTCTAGATGACGCTGTTGCTGTTTTTGCCGGTTTGTTCTTGTCGCTGGAACTAGTGCTTTGGGCTATTCCGCACGTTATGTGTGAAAACTGCACAACGGGGCCTGCCACAATATTATTCGGACCACGTGCAGCCAGGATGCCCGCAATGTCGTCGCAAGGCTTGCGCTACCTTCTCGCAGAACTCAGGTGAAGGGTGCCGGGGTGGGCTGGCCTGGGCTGGCTGCATTGTTGGCCGCGTAGACTCTGCATGCTGCATTGGCTGCATTGGTTGGACTGGATGCATCAGCTGTGTCGTCTGCGCAGTCTGCATCGGCTGCATCACCTGTATCGGCTGCATCGTCTGCATCGGCTGCATCGTCTGCATATGCTGCATCGCCTGTATCGGCTGCATCGTCTGCATCGGCTGCATCGTCTGCATATGCTGCATCGACTGTATCGGCCGCATCGTCTGCATCGCCTGTATCGGCTGCATCGTCTGCATCGGCTGCATCGTCTGCATCGGGTCCCGGGGTGGGCTGGCCTGGGTTGGCTGCATTGTTGGCCGCATAGACTCTGCAGGCTGCGTTGGCTGCGTTGGTTGAATTGTCTGCATCATTTGTGTCGTCTGCATCGGCTGCATCGTCTGCATCCGCTGCATCGGCTGCGTCGTCTGCCCTGCATCGGCTGCATGGCCTGTGTCGGCTGCAGCAGCTGCACTGTGCTGACCTTGCGTCGGCCATATCTCCGCGGGCTGCATTGGTTGCATTGGGTCCGCCCGTTGCATCGGCTGGATTGGTTGCGCTGTGTGTGCGGGCTGCAGTGGCTGCGCGGGCTGCGTTGGGTGCGCCGGCTGTGTTGAATTCGGCTGCGCAGGTGCCGGCTTTGGGTGCTCCGGCTTCGCCGGTGGCGCCGTGGCTGGCTTTCGAGGTCTCTCTAGCGGTGCTTTTGCGTGCGCTTGCTTTGCGTGCGCCGGCTTTGGTTGCGCCGGCTTTGGCCGAGGCTGCTCCAGCGGAGCTTTTGCCGGTTGGCGGCGCTGCCAGTTGCTTGCTCTCTGCTGCGAATGTTTCCTCGTCATGTTGAACACTGCGCACCCTCTCCAAGCCGAAACGGCAATAGCGGACTGGTCCGGATCGCTGTTGCTGCATCAAGCCAATGAGTAAACGAATTAGTGGGTGAAATGTGTAGGTGCAGGTACACCAAGGATTCCGCTTTGTATGCGTATATATATGTGTATCATCATGTGTATATATAATATGAATATGCTTGTGCAAACACATATACATATGCATAGGCACAGACACCTATATACTCTTTACACGTTTCTATATGACCGCTGCCTCAGACGCTGCAAAAGCACGTATCGACATGGAGACTGCTTTTGTAACAACAACAGCGCACCATCATGCTGTTAGCGCGCGCGCCGAAAGCCTGGAATCCCCCTGTAATGAGCGCGCAGTGTGCTGAAATCACTGGTTTTCCTCAGGGATGCAGCGTCACGCCTCCAGGACGTCAAAAAGCCAGCTATTATCTTTGCTGGCCGGCAAAAAATCGCGCGCGGCACCGGATGTCCGTGCGGACGCGGCGCGTTTGTCCGAGTCGGATGGCGCTACTTGGCGGAGTCGTACGGCGAGCGCGCAAGAGCAACGTGTGCGCCGAGCAAACGTAGCGAAGGAAGGTCTCCGAGTGAGAGCCCGACGGTCCGAGTCGGAGGCGGAGGCCACGTGTCGGTCGGCGAGGACTGTGTCAGACAACGACGGCCCGCGTCGGCCGCGGAGTCGGCGGTGCCGAACAGCGAGCATGTCAACGAGACGTAGATGCGGAGCCAACTTAGCGAAGTAAGGTCTGCGAGTCAGAACCCGATGGTCCGTGTCGGCCGCGGAGGCTGCGTGTCGGACGGCGAGGACTGTGCCAAACAACGACGGCTATGCGAAAACACTTGAGCGGGTGTGCTTATCGAGTGATACACTTGAGCGGGTGTGCTTATTATGTGCCGGCATGTGTGCAGTGCTACGCGAATACACGTGAACGGGTGTGCTTATCATGTGCCAGCATGTGCGCACTGCTACGCGAACACACTTGAGCGGGTGTGCTTATCATGTGCCAGCATGTGTGCTCTGCTACGCGCATGCGCTTGAGCGCGTGTGCTTATCATGTGCCAGCATGTGCGCAATGCTACGCGCATACACGTGAACGGGTGTGCTTATCACGTGCCAGCATGTGTGCACTGCTACGCGAACACATTTGAGCGGGTGTGCTTATCAGTGCCAGCATGTGCGCAGTGCTACGCGAATGCACTTCAGCGGGTGTGCTTATCATGTGCCAGCATCTGCGCAGCACTGCGCGCATACACTTGAGCGGGTATGCTTATCATGTGCCAGCATGTGTGCAGTGCTATGCGAATGCACTTGAGCGGGTGTGCTTATCATGTGCCAGCATGTGTGCTGTGCTGTGCGAATGGACTTGAGCGGGTGTGCTTGCTATGCGACTGCACTTGAGCGGGTGTGCTTATCATGTGCCAGCATGTGTGCAGTGCTGCGCGAATACATTTGAGCGGGTGTGCTTATCATGTGCCAGCATGTGTGCTCTGCTATGCGAATGCACTCGAGCGTGTGTGCTTATCATGTGGCAGCATGTGTGCAGCGCTATGCGAATGCACTTGAGCGGGTGTGCTTATCATGTGATACACTTGAGCGGGTGTGCTTATCATGTGCCAGCATGTGTGCTGTGCTGTGCGAATGCACTTGAGCGGGTGTGCTTGCTATGCGACTGCACTTGAGCGGGTGTGCTTATCCTGTGCCAGCATGTGCGCAGTGCTACGCGAATACTTCGCGAATGCACTTGAGCGGGTGTGCTTATCATGCGCCAGCATGTATGCAGTGCTAGGCGAGTGCACTTCAGCGGGTGTGCTTGTCATGCGCCAGCATGTGCGCAGTGCCATGCGAATGCACTTGAGCGGGTGTGTTTATCGCGTGCCAGCATGTGTGCTCTGCTATGCGAATGCACTTGAGCGGCTGTGCGTATCATGTGCCAGCATGTGTGCTCTGCAATGCGAATGCATTGAGCGGGTGTGCTTTTCATGTGCCAGGATGTGTGCAGTGCTACGCGAACACACTTGAGCGGGTGTGCTTACCATATGCCAGCATGTGCGCAGTGCTATGCGAATGCACGTGAGCGGGTGTGCCTATTATGTGCCAGCATGCGTGCAGTGCTAGGCGAGTACACTACAGCGGGTGTGCTTATCATGTGCCAGCATGTGCGCAGTGCCATGCGAATGCACTTGAGCGGGTGTGCTTATCACATGTGCCAGCATGTGTGCTCTGCTATGCGAATGCACTTGAGCGGGTGTGCTTATCATGTGCCAGCATGTGTGTAGTGCTAGGCGAACACACTTGATCGTGTGTCCTTATCATGTGCCAGCATGTGTGCAGTGCTATGCGAATGCACTTGAGCGGGTGTGCTTATCATGTGCCAGCATGTGTGCAGTGCTAGGCGAATACACGTGTTCGTGTGCGCTTATCATGTGCCAGGATGCGCGCAGTGCTATGCGAATACACTTGAGCGGGTGTGCTTATCATGTGATACACTT